ATTGATCTGAAACAACAGACTGAGATCACTGCCGTAGCAACACAGGGAAGATATGGCAGTACGGAATGGGTCACACAATACAGGCTTCAGTATAGTGACAATGGTGACAAATGGTCTGATTACACAGAAGGGGGGTCAAAAAAGGTAAGTGATATTACCAGTTTAAGTAGAGATTTGGGTATTTAGGAAACAAAACTTTCAGATTTCTAAAAATATCAATGATTATCTATGAAAACCTAACAACTTTCTCAAAATGTGTTTATAATTACCTATTTGAGAAATCCCAGATAGGTTTTTATTCAAAAATGGAATTGTGACCATCCATACAATCACTGAAATCATTAACTCATGAAAATTTACGATTTACAAAAAATGGTCTACATCGTGAATCACTGTAAACCGTTTAATTTTCGTGCTTATGAATTGTCACTATTGGATGATTTTTATGGCATTCAGAAAAGTCTTTTGTAGAACCCCAAAATTTTAAGATTTACAGTCTAACAGTCTAACAGAATTGTTGAATTGATCTAAAAATAGAGATTTTTGAAAAATAATAGGATAAATTTCTCAATATTTCACTGTAACAAAAAAGAATGCTATTTCATAGTGTCATGGGACAATAGCCTCACGATTTCACAAAATAAACCAATGAACATTGTCATGCTATTTATGATGAATTTTCTCAAAAATTAGTAGGCTTCTACCTTAAAACAGTAAAATGCATGCCTTCAATTATTTACAATGTAGCTAATATTCATAATATATGATTAAATGCATGTTTATTTTCAGACTTTTGATGGAAATACGGATGCAAGGACAACTGTGAAGAATGAATTGACTTCTATCATTGCTCGATATATTAGATTTAATCCAAGGGGATATAATAAACAAATGTCAATGAGAGTGGAAATCTATGGATGTCTACATGGTAAATATTTGAAATATGAACTCTTTCAATTTTAAATTTTTTTACACAAATTTAAAAAAAAAAAAATGGGATGGTTTCTTCCGGCGCAGTGTTTCCTTGAACACTCAAATTTTCCCCACCAAAATATAGATGTCACATCTTACGAATTTTTTTTATTTATCTTCTATAATTTTTGTTGATATTAGATGAAACAAATTTTATGTGTAAGGAAACAAAAGTTGGATTGTGTTCATAAAGTTCAGCAAATGTGGCTACTTTGCTAGTTATCTAGAATAAGTCAAAATATTTTTTTTCATTCTGAGTTAATAATACCGCTTAGTTGAAAATGCTTACTGTAAAACCCTCTATTTTAGCTGGCATTAATTTTTCGCTGAAAAGACTTTTTGGGTGTTTTGCATGGAATTTATTTTATACTGATTTTTGACTAGTTGTATGTACAATATAGGAAAAAATGTATATTCGCTTGTTTTTATTTTCACTGAATCATTCCTTCAGCAAAAATAGCAAAAATTGATTCGAAGCAAAAATATAAAGTATTTTACATTACATGATGTAATGTCACTGTGCAGCATTTTGTCAAGTTTGACTCGACCTAAACAGTAACACTATGAATGTGAATTGACTGTATGTGTGTAACGACACTGAGCACAGTCATTCTTGAGCTACTAATGTTTACTTTACAAAAGACACAAAAAGCTCATTTTCCAAGATAGCCAAATGAAAAAAATTTCTATGGCAACGTGACGTTGATGCATACCCACTATTGGGTTTGGTATTTTGATTTTAATGATGTATTAATTCAATTAGACCAACAAAAGAAAAGTTTTACTTCTCCTTGTCGTGTCAGAAACCCCTTGGTCATTATTTGTTATTTCATGTGCCGGTGCTACATATGGTAGAATGGGGAGAATGTCTTCTTATTTTGAGGTTTTGTCGATCTAAATCAATCTACATTAAAAAACATGTATCCTGTTCTACTGGAAAAAAAATTTAAACCACATCATCTTTCAATTTTTCCTGTGACGAGAAGCACATTCTTTTTTTTGAAGTTTATCGAAAAATTAATTATTAAACTGTTAATGTAAAGAACTTTAAATGTTATTACATTAATAGAAAAAAAAAGGCCATATTCATTAGTATTGTCGGTCTGATTCCCGTGAGTTCCATCGCTCTGGAGAAGTGCTTATACAATGTAATTATGTTGTCATAGCAACAGATCATTCAGTCTTTGTTGATAATTCTTTCCATGATTTTTTGTGTATATTGTGATTGATGCATTCTAATTTACTCACTACTCACTTCTTACATTTCCAGGAAATCCCCTCCCCCCAATGAACAATTTCTTTTAGCAACGCTGTCAACTTTGTCGAGCGGAGCTTATCATGACTGATTGTCTGTCGTCGTCCATGTCCATGATTGCTTTTAAACATATTGTTCATTTTCTAATGATATCTCCAGTTCTTTAATTGAAATGTGCATTGCTAACAGCGGAGCTATCTCAGCAGACAGGCTACTTGTTTACTTCTCTGATTTCATTATTAGTTTTCAACCAAATAGATGTATTGCTGTGCAACGTTTTTTATTCAGTTAAAAAAAAAAAAAGACTCTGAATGTTATCAGAACTGTTTTTACTTGTCACCAAGACGCTGTACTATAGTGTTTGAAAGTGTTTGAATGATTTTGTCTTCCGTATAAGGAAATTATGCTACACGTATACGTCATACTTTCCTTTGCAAATGTACGCAAAACACGAAATGTTCCTCGCTGCTATTTTGGGCGGTTATCTCTCATTAAATTATTATTACACTCAGGGAAAAGTTGTATAATAATGTCATCATGAGAATACCAGAAAGTATGCACTCGGGCAGTACAGGAACGTCCATGTATCATGTACTCGCTTCATGCATACTTTGCGATGTTCTTGTAATAACCTCAAAGTAACCTTTATGTGCAAATTTATTCAATTCTTGAATATTTTCATTATTTGTTGACTGTCTGCTTCAGACATTGCTTCTGACTGGGTTAACATTTTAATGTCATAATTCTAGTCACCCGAAAAATGGTACAGTCAAACGTTCTGCATATTTTCTGTAATTTCTTTTATGTCTAATTCGATTTGCCGATAACATCCCAATTAGCTTTATTTTTCAAAAAGATTGAAGAAAAATGAACCTTTTTATTTGCCAATTTATTAAAATCCTTTCTATATTGCTTTATGTGGTAAAAAGGTTTTAATCGCCATCTCTCTCTTTCATAGATGCCTACACAGCTACTTTTGATGGTAGTAACTATGCAATCTACGATGTAAGTCAACGGGATAAGCATTTAGCACTAGATAATAACAACGTCACGTTTAGAATGAAAACGAATCGTCCAAATGGTGTTGTCATGGCATCCTCTGGTACACAAACTGATTATATTGTTATGGAATTGATAGAAGGAAGTCTGGTTGTACATTTGAACTTAGGTGAGTATTCTTG